CTCTTATAGCAACGGATCCTGAATATTTTCCTGACATTTGCACACCTCCCGTAAGCTACCAAGCCACTTTCTCAGATGGAAAAATCTAACGTCTAAACTCCCGTAAGCTACCACGATTCTTTCTCAGACGGAAAAATCTGATGTCTCACGTTGCACATCTCTAAACTCCCGTAAGCTACCACGCCTCTTTCTCAGACGGAAAAATCTCTACCACGCCTCTTTCTCAGACGGAAAAATCTAACGTCTCACGCTGCACACCTCTAAGCTCCCGTAAGCTACCACGCCACTTTCTCAGACGGAAAAATCTAATGACACTACCTTCAGCCAAACTTCAACAATATTACTATGCCGGCCCATCTTTTAAGTCAGCTCGCCCGGTATATCTATTACACCTCCGGTGTCCTTTGTGTCCTTTTTGTGGTGGTGGTTGGTTGGTTTTGCATTTGGTTGGTTGGTTTTCCTTAGGGTTAGAGTTTATCTAAAACGAAGCCTCCTCTTGGGCCCCCACATTTCTTACACATTCTCTTTTATAGCAAGGGATCCTGAATATTTTCCTCACATTTGCACACCTCGAAACTGCCGTAAGCTACAACGCCTCTTTCTCAGAAGGAAAAATCTAACGTCTCACATTGCACACCTCCAACCTCCCGTAAGCTCCACGCCTCTTTCTCAGACGGAAAAATCTAACGTCTCACGTTGCACACCTCTAACCTCCCGTAAGCTACCACGCCACTTTCTCAGACGGAAAAATCTAACGTCTCACGTTGCACACCTCTAAACTCCCGTAAGCTACCACGCTACTTTCTCAGACGGAAAAATCTAACGTCTCACGTTGCACACCTCTAAACTCCCGTAAGCCACCACCCCACTTTCTGAGACGGGAAAATCTAACGTCTCGCGTTGCACACCTCTAAACTCCCGTAAGCTACCACACCACTTTCTCAGATGGAAAAATCTAACGTCTCACGTTGCACACCTCTAAACTCCCGTAAGCTACCACGCCACTTTCTCACACAGAAAAATCTAATGACACTACCTTCATCCAAACTTCAACAATATTACTATGCCGGCCCATCTTTTTATTAAGTCAGCTCGCACGATATCTATTACACCTCCGGTGTCCTTTTTCGCAAGAAGATCTTGGATAAGTAGTCACGGATTTGAGGTCATTCGTGACTGATCCATCACCGCCACAAAATCTGCCTCCACCATTCAAAGTTTCCGAGATCATCCCGACCATGACGACTGCTACATCAGCTCAACAACTTGGCAAGTTCTTGGCGGCCTTGGCAGCCAAGCAATCCACTCCAGGTGGAGGTGCTGCCGCCGCTGTGGGGGCAGGATTAGGGTCTGCAGCTGCATCCATGTCGGCTGCCTACACTCAGCGCAAAAAGGACCGAGAAAGTGGTGCCGCCGTCATGGCAGAGGCACTGGTGGCCAAGTTGGATTTTGCCAAAGCATTGCAAGCAGCAGATGACGATGCATCAGCCTATGCGGATCTTCAACGAACTTGGAAAGATACCGAAATGTCAGCCGAAGAAAAGAAGGCTATTGAAGCCAGGGCGTTGGCAGTACCAGTATCTTTGGTGGAGATGTGTCATGATTATATTCTGGCCATTCAAGGATTCTTGCCGGATTGCAATTCCAATATTACATCCGATGCCAAGGTTGGTATTCATCAGTTGGCGGGGGCTGCTCGAGCTGCCTATCAAACGGTTCTGGTCAATTCGCCCCCTCAAGAAGAAAAGGATCGCCTCAAAGCTCTGCTGTTGGAGATTAGAAAGATTGAAGATGAGCTGTTGGATATGGTTGCTTAAAGTATTAAAGTTTTACTAGTTATAGAACCTCTTCTTTTGGCTCATGGCGAATGCCCTTTATGAATTAATGTGTATAAGGATTCTTTGCAATAAGAGTGCAACCCCGCGCAGTCTAGATTCGATTCCTGTCCTTTCCGCTTCGGACGGAATGTCATCACTGCCTTGTATCTTCCAAGGCCAAACGAAATATAGGTCAACCTTATCAGGACGGCATTGCCTTCTGGTTGTTGTTTGGTTGATAGTCATACTATAATGGCCCCTCGTAGACCATTTTCAGGGAGGGTCATCATGGATGCATCATTGGTTTGCTCTTCCTCGATCTTGTAACCAATGCTCACACAGGCATCATTTCCTCTCTCCAAGCTACATTGCAGCTGCAGCATAATCATAAACTGGCACAAGAGGTTGCATTGTCAGAGCTTGTAGCGTAGAGTTTCGTTCCAATCCACTGGCAATTGCCATGCAACAGGAGTCATCCAAGCCTTCATCGTACAACTGAAGCTCCACCAAGGAAGAGTTCATTCGCAGCATGTGTGACAAAGCTTCGTATCCATTCCGAGTCAAACCGCAGTCAAACAAAGTCAGTCCTTTGAGTGTTTCATTCTTTCGAAGGGCGTCTGCCATAAGGACTGCCAACTCTTCGGTGAGTTTGACTTGCCACAGTTTCAACACCAGTAAACTCTTGGACTTGCACAATTGGCGTAGAGGCCGGATTGTCAAAGCTCCGGATTGTCGTCGTTTCATTCGAATCTCCACAATCTTCAGCGTTGGAATGGCAGAGAGCGCTTGCAAAAGTGGATCCAGCGTAATCTTGCGATTCACCAGAAGAAAGTTCTTGGCGTGGAACTCTTCCAGGAACTTGTGCTTCTGTAGCGCTTCTGATACTTCTTGCTCATGCCGGGCCAATACCACATTCCTCAACGACAAATGCTTCAATGGACTACATCCCGTCAAGACACAAGTCAGTGCATGCATCTGCAAAGGGAATCCATCTCTGGGGTTGGGAAAGTCGCAAAAGAGAGTTTCGCAGCGTGGAAGATCTCCAATGGCTTCAAACAGGTTCCGGCCCTGTTCTCCCGACAAATCCACAAGGAACTCCTTCCAGATCTCAACGTGTCTAACAGTCTTGTTGATGCGAAGGGCTTGTATCAAATCGTAGGGATCGTAGCTGCTGGGCACCGTGTACCCATGCAACTCAAGGTTTACAAATTTGGGATCGTTCTCCCGTAACGACCGTATCATGTTCACGTATGTCATGGTCTCCGTCGTATCTGGATCATCATCTTCTTCTTTCTCCTCCGAAGCTGTGCTCTCGGTTGGCTTTTGATAAAGCACGGCAGCAAGGGATCGTCGTTTCATCTTGGCTCTGTGTATGGGGTATTGGATAGTTTCCATCATAGTGGAAAAGACGAGAACAGTTTGGCTGTTTGGTTTGGGAAGGTGCGTCCGTACGACTCACTTGGCTTCTCGGAATCGAGCGTTGTTATTGTGTCAATGAGATGCCATCTCATGTAATGATAATGACTTGATGAAGGCTCTCTGAAGAGGAACGCACCACTGGAAGCAGGCGGCAACAATGTCATTCACGCGGGAGTATTCAAGCGAACTTGGGGAAACTATTATACTTCGTCAAGTCATACAACTGTAAGTCAAAGAATGTATCAAGTCTTTATCAATGTGCATCCTTGCAAGAAATCGATTTGAACCGTCGGAAAAGTTGTAGACAACTTGGATAGAGTCGACTTTCAGTTTTCGGAAGAAAGGATCAGGCGCTGGTTTCGAAGGAACGGCCACCGGTACATATTATACGTACAATACCTACGTCCCTGCGGGAGTCGAAATCAACTCTAAACCCCCGTTATCACTTGCTACTAGTACAGAAGCTATCAAAGCAACCAATGTCAAATCCACCCCTGGTCTCGCACCTGAATCACTCCAAGAGTATGACAGTAGTTCCATCTCCAAACCTGAAAAACTCCAGGACCTACTGTATGCATACTCCTCTCAATGTTGCTGTTCTCCAGGTCCCAATGAGGTACGGTACCGGTGTGGTACGACTGTACCGCTGCGTGTACTGGGAAGTCTCGGAGCCTCGGAGCATCAAAAGGTTTACCTCTAAGCTTTTCCAAATGCACTGGCTTATTTTAAAATCCAAGAACCGTCATCAAAGCGAAGGCTTTCGGGATAAAGAGGGCAGCGTCGGGAAAGAGTTGACTTGGATTGTACTGTGCTACTCCTCATTTCTCCCCTTAGATTAAGCTGTCTCGAGTACGTAGTACACAAGGACAATGACAACAGCAGACGGAAACGTATCCGAAAGATCCAAGAAGAATGGTGGCCAAATTGAGTTGAATCCTCTGTTTCCAAGTGGTGACATTGACAGAATTCCCATTCCTTCTTCCAGCTACAAGGACAATCCTGAAGAGGAAGGTGAAGCTGCTGTCAATCATGACGAACCTTGGAATGACGAAGAAGAAGCTATAGAAACAGTGACTAGAAGTGCCCCCAAAGTGACCTGCTGTTGGCCCTTGGCAATTGCTTGCCTGACGGTTCCTTTTCTCCTGGCGGGTGCCTTGATACTGCTGAGCCATGCTCCAATTTATCCCTACGACTTTGTGCTGCCAAATTTGACGAGTGATTGGACACCACAGGGTGGATGGCGGTACATGGAATACAAATGGGGCAACAGTCCGTATCGAATTCCCAAGAGTATTCAAGATCAATCCGATGCTTTGGCTCGTGAACGCCGCAAACATGTGAAGGCAGCCATGGAATTTGCCTGGAACCAGGGGTATGTCCGGCACGCCTTTGGCATGGACGAAGTCAAACCCGTCTCAAAAGTGGGAGACAACATCTGGCAGGGAATCGCCACCACCATGGTCGACTCCCTTGATACCCTGTGGCTTCTCAACATGACAACCGAATTTTGGCAAGCCAGGGACTTTGTCCTGCAAAATTTGACCTATGCCAACAAGGATGTTTCGGTCATTTGCTTTGAAACCACCATTCGATCACTTGGGGGGTTGCTATCGGCATATAGTTGGTCCGAAGATCGTGTCTTTTTGAATCGAGCCTTGGATATTGCCCGCCGCATTCATCGCTCCTTTGACCAGTCTCCAACGGGCATTCCTTTTGGGAGGGTCAATCTCATGACAGGGGCCGCATACAATGATCATCGGGAAGACTTTACACCATTGTCATGGGTGGGGACACTGCAATTGGAATTTCGTTGGTTGGATGCTTTTCTACACAACAATGAGACTGCCACAATGAGAAGGTCTGTGGAACATGTGATAGATACTTTGCATGAACTCAATCCGCCGAATGGACTGTATCCCACCCTGGTTCGCAATATCAATGTCACCACTGCTGAATTCGCCAATCAACACTTGACATTCGGGGCCAATGGTGATAGCTTTTACGAATACCTACTCAAGGCGTGGATTCAGGGTGGTAAGCGAGAAACCATCTACCGTGACATGTACGACAAAGCCATTCAGGGTCTTCATGATCAACTTGTACGTCAGTCAACTCCCTCTGGTTTGACATATTTGATAGATATTGTTGATGGAGAAAGCATCCATAAACTGCATCACTTGACCTGTTTCATGGGTGGTTTGTTGGCCTTAGGAGCCTACCATGATCCACTGGGGACGGATTCCCACAGGGCGAAACGAGACATGAAGACTGGAAAAGTATGTGGGGTTGCGTTATGGTCAGATATGTGGGCGCTTTTCATCATGTTTGGAACTAACAATTCTCAAACTTTCCCCTGCTGTTTGGAAGGCGCTGACCTATACTTGTTATCAAATGTATGCGCAGCAGAATACAGGTGAGTCCAAGGTCTTGTTCGGGATTCACTGCTTCCCAAGCTGCTGCTAACTCACGCTACATTTGGTCTGGCCAAACTTTACTTTTGTAGGACTCTCTCCAGAGGAAGTCCAGTTCCTTCCAGGAAAAGATTTTCGTCTCGAAGGGGACGTGGATATCCATCCCGAGGGAGATCAATCTGCGTATGGCACGCGGCCTGATGCCGACACGACATCGTCTCAAAACATTCTGCGTCCTGAAGTAGTCGAAAGCTTCTACACCTTGCATGCTATCACGAAAGACCCTATCTACCGGGAATGGGGATGGGAAATCTTTCAAGCCATCGAAACATACTGTAAAACAGAGATTGCCTATGGAGAATTCCCCAATGTTGCCAATACAAGTGCAATGCCCCTAGACAAGATGGAGTCCTTTGTTTTGGCCGAGACAGTCAAGTATCTTTATCTGCTCTTTGATCCCGACAGTCCCGTGGATATTCTGAACACACACGTCTTCAATACCGAAGCTCATCCTTTGCCAGTGTTTGACAAACTGAAAGCAATCTAAGACTGGGGCAACAACCAGGGAAGACTGGGGCAAGAACAACCCTTTCTCACAACGAATCTGCAGTGGCTCCGGAAGAGATTCCGTACGAAGCCCCTTCATTTCGTCGTCGAGTTTCACCTCTCTACTGCCGAGTCATTAGAGAAAGTGCCAGCAATGTATGCAACTTCAAGAAACGATGGAGAACGATGGCACGAAATCATCAAAGCCAACAATGTGTGGGTGACCTGTAACGATATTTGAGCTTCCAGCACCGCTGCTATCGGTTTCCCCAGCCTTATGACACTATTTGATTCAGCTTCAGTGCAGTGCAGCGCAGTAATAACATTGAACATTGAAGAATCGCGATGCATACCCTATCGGAGGAAAAACATCAATGTAAAGTACAACAATCTATGGCTACTAATAGTTTTGCCCCAATATTATTTGCAGTTCAATTTTGGTGGTGTGTCATTTCCTGCTGTCAGAATCGTCCGACCTGTGGAGGGTGGGACATGTCCCTCTTCACAGGCACGTGAACCTTATAAATTCGTCTTGCGACCCTCCAAAGATGTCCAGCAAGTGCGGATTTACCCGTGTGTGCCAGCCATTCCAACATAATCGGTGTTTGCAACGGGACAGAGTGTTTGGTGTGCGTCGGTCGTAAGGTAAACCCCATCCTCAATCCCATCTGATATACTTCTGGTGAATGAACGGGAGATTACTTCTATTGGTACGGTAGATGCCGTTATTGACAGTTCATCCACCTCGATTTCATTTGGATCATACGGTAGGGAAAGTTGGTCATTGCATTCAATCCATCGTGGCGTGGAAAAATGGCAGCCCCTCCTGTATCATAAATCTTTGGGGTCTCTTTGCCAAAAATGGATCTTCATTAGCGTTAGAGGTTCGTTACTTTTGCCGTTTCATTGGCTGCCACCAAGAAAGATCTCTCGCATCGCAAACTCAAGACGAAAAGCACTCGATCTCTCCTCATTCATTTATTGGAGGCAATGGCAAGGGCTTGATTGATTGATTGAATGAATGGACGAGAATCTGGCTAACCGGTAGCTAGCTAGACCAGAACTTCGCAAGCTTTTTTCTATATATAGATATATATTGACAACCATGGTATTATCGCGGCGACAGCGGAAACAGGTGTTTGGCCTTTGGCTGGCATCTGCTGCAACAATATGCTCACCCGTCTTGGCACTTCACATGCAACAACAACCTCCATCATCTTCATCCTGGCAACCACCCAAGCACTGGAAGTTCACGGGCTTTCGTCACAGAGCTCCAACTACTACTACTACTACATCCCACCAGAGTACCTTTGATGACGACCGAGATGACCTTTACTACGGTAATAATGACGCACCCGCAGCCGGTGCCATTTTCCCCGATGGAGGATTGTCACCTTGTGTCATCAAAGTCATTGGGGTGGGTGGGGGTGGCAGCAACGCCGTCGATCGCATGTTGGATACGGCCGTGGGAGGTGTCGATTTTTGGGCCATTAATACCGACGCCCAAGCCCTCGGCCGAAGTAAGGCGAAGGGTGCCAAGACGCTCAACATTGGTGCGTCCGTCACACGAGGATTGGGAGCTGGTGGTAACCCCGATATTGGGAGAATGGCGGTGAGTAACAAAAATGGATATGGGGCGACCTCTAGCTAGCTAGCTACCTTTTTGCGTGCTCACTCTTTTCAATTTGTTGTCTTCCTTTTGATTTGGGTGATTAGGCAGAAGAATCTCTTGCGGAAATTGAGGCCATGGTAGCTGGCACTGACTTGTGCTTTGTCACTAGCGGCATGGGTGGAGGCACGGGCAGTGGGGCTTGTCCTGTAGTGGCTCAAATTGCCAAGGAACAGGGCTGTCTTACCGTGGGTATCGTCACCAAACCATTCATGTTTGAAGGGAAACGACGCATGACGCAGGCCATCAAGGCAATTGATCGACTTCGTGAAAATGTCGACACTGTCATTGTCGTATCCAACGATCGATTGCTGGAAATTATTCCGGATGATACCCCTATCGAACGAGCATTTGCCGTGGCCGACGATATTCTGCGACAAGGAGTGGTAGGTATCTCGGATATCATTGTCAAACCAGGTCTGATCAATGTCGATTTTGCCGATGTACGGTCCATCATGAGTGGCGCGGGAACGGCTCTAATGGGCATTGGAATTGGCAATGGAAAGACTGCGGCCGAAGATGCCGCTGCAGCTGCCATTTCGAGTCCCTTGTTGGATTCTACCATTGAAAATGCCAAGGGTGTTGTATTCAATATTAGTGGAGGGCCCAATCTATCATTGAACGAAGTCAATCAGGCTGCCAAGTTGATTTATTCCACTGTGGAAGCCGATGCCAATGTCATTTTTGGAGCCTTGGTCGACGAGACTTTGGAGGACAACATTTCCATCACGGTCCTAGCGACCGGATTCAAAACCAAAGAATCCGAAATGGGTGCGAGAGCGAGAATGTCCGAACCCACGCAATCTACCGCCAGATCCTCTATGCCCTCTTCGGATACTAGTTTCAATGATGTACGAGGACAAGCAGCCGGCGCCAGAAGACAGTCCCAGCAACAATCAGCACAAACTGCCCGTCAGTCTCCACCGGTACAAGATGACGATCTACCACCCGAAAGTGGAGGAGAGCAGCTGCCGTCGTTCTTGAAGAACTTGAAAAAGAAGCGATAGGTGGAACAGACTGTATCTATCGGTACGCACCATGTAAAATCAAGTCGGGGACGGAACGAGCAGAGCTATACACGACCAACGCTGACACAACCAATAAGTCAAAGCAGTCCTTTGCCTCATCATGTGGAATATTGTTCTTAAAACGACAAGCGTGATTCAATCCGGTTCGTGATGCACAAAAATAAAAGACAGTCTTGAAGCTAGAAAATGCCCAAAAATGCCCGTGATGATGGTTGACTTTGGTAATGTACAGTACCAGTTATTCGTTTCTGCGATTTTTTGCATCTGCTCTTCGATTCTTTCGCCTTGACCCCCATCAAATTCTGGGCCGGTGGTTTGTGGTCCTCATCGTCGTTATTGGCATCCAAAAGATCCGCGAGCGATGCTGTCATTCTAGTTCTTTCGAATGGAAGCAACTTCCTTGCCGCCCCGCTTGGCCAATCTCTTGGCTCGCAACGCACTCTGCCTGGGTCAATGAATGGTAAGGCCGCGACGAAGAAACTGAGATGGAATCCCTTTCATTGGACCAGAGATGAGGCGTGACGGGACGAGTCAAGGTTCTTCTGTGTAGATGAAACTTTGTGGAGAAGTTTTGCTTCCTGACATCAATCGATTGCATACGTTATCAGTGGTCTAGATCTTGCTTGTTGACACTTTTCACGGACATCAGGAAACGTTTTGCCCTCTCTCGTTTGCAATCACGCCATTGAGTCATCCTTCGGGACGAAACTTGGCCTGTGAGTGGGCCTTGAAGCGAGCATTTGCATGAGCGCGATGATGGCGGGGTTAGCTCTCACGAACCGCACCAAGAATTCGTCCGAGTAGACCTTGGTGGATCGGACCGTCCTCCTCGCACGCAGTTGCTTTCAGACTTGAACTTTCCCCAATGAAATCGCGAGCAGAGTTACGATGCTTGGCATTGGACTACGGTATGTGTTCCCGATCGGTACGACAGTCTCCGGTCATGACGTAGCTATCGTGTAAAGACAGGAGTTTGTTGTATTCGTAGTGAAAGGCAAACTGACTGTCCTTGATCTGAACGCAGCATAGGCTCGTGGGAGGCCGTACTGTCATATGTCATTGGGCGCCATGAACTCGGAGCAGGAGACCCGATTCGATTCCACAGCAATGTCATTGCTGGCTTCTCCCGGCCAAAGAGAACGTGTCGCAGTTTGGAATCAAACAAGGTGTGGTTGCACTGGCTATGGTTCCCAAAGTCAAAAAGAGAGGAGCAGGAGGAGGAGATAATCCACCTACTCTAGTAGGCCCCCCCATTCGGTACCGGTACCAGTAGGAGACGGAGGGAGCTGGAGGAGAAGGGCTATTTTGGCGGGACTCATGGTTTCATGACTCATATCTTTGCGCGTTGTCGGTTGTCGCCTTCCTCTTCCCAAAGCTGTCAAGATGATGGCCATGATGTTATCCGATTTCTGGCACCTTCTCCTGCTACTCGTAGTCCTCCCGATAGTCGTCAGTGAAGCAGTCGAGTATGGTGTTGATGTGGTGAGTTCTGTTGATCGGACGGAGATCCCATGAAGTGCATACCGGTACTTCTAGCTAGCTGGCTTGTAGTTTCTGTTCTTCTCATTGTGCTTGTTTCTTTCTACCATGACACCACTACCGTACCGCTATTGCTGTAATAATGCCAGAGCTACCCCATGCACCATCCCAATGTGACAACGCCAACCAACAACCCATTGGGTGATCGGCAATCCTTTTACGAAGAAAATATTCAGGGATGCGAGGATTTCTACCAATCTGGCAAGTGTCTCACCAATGAACGCGTCCGCGTCAAAATGTCCCTCCGACAACCTAAATCCATGGTCAATTACACAGAGTTGGGATACACCAAGATCAAGTCTCCCGAATCGGTCATGAAATTGCTATTGGAGTTTTGGCAAGCCAATAAAGAGAAGGCACGCAATGAAAAGTGGGCACCGGGGTAAGCAATGCAATTCCACAATCATTCATCTTATACTGCACGGTACTGTCTTCCATACAAACGTGTGCCTCAATTGACCGACCTTTTCTTCCAATCAATCAAACCAAAACACTATACTAGAAACACATATACAAATCATTGGAAAGTGTAAGTAGAACCGAACGAAAGTGGACCAAAAACAGCAAGAAGAAGTAGAAGAAGAGTCACCAATCCACAAATACATCTTATCTTTTGTTTTTCTCTTTCCAGACCCTCCAAGTTGGTCAAAATTGAAGACCAATCCATGGATGGAGGTGGGGAAGTACTCAAGCAAAAGGTATGGGATGCTGCACGAGATACCATTGAGGAATGGACTGGACAACGCCTGGCTGAATGCTCTCTTTATGGCATTCGAATCTACGAAGAGGGGGCTGTTCTGGCCACTCATGTGGATCGGTTGCCATTGGTTAGTTCGGCCATTATTAATGTGGATCAAGATGTGGATGAACCTTGGCCTCTGGAAGGTACGCAGGGGTTGGATTCAAATATCTATTTGTGTTTGTGGGGAAAGATGTGGACAATTCTTAGCACCAGCTCTCTCCTTGACTTACTTTTGAAACTAACTGCAGTGATTGGCCACGATGGAAAAGCAGTAGTGAGTTTGTCTTTCTGGTGTTTGAGTATCATTGCTTTGGTGTGTTTTGCCTTGGTCATCTCATTATTAGTCAATGTGGAATACTGTACACGCATCGCCTTCTATTGCGATTGCCGCAGAACATCACAGTAAGTTTGAGCAATCCGCAGATGTGATGTGCAGACTGGAAAGAAGCTGACACTCTTCAACTCCTGAAGATGGAACCCGGTGATCTTGTCCTTTACGAATCCCACTCGGTACTGCATGGTACGTAAGCAAGCTCGATGAACTTGATGAAAGACGCTGCCTGATGATTGCAAGACAGGATTGTGGCTGACCACGCGGGTTTCTTGCTTCCGTCACAGGTCGCCCATTTCCCCTCAAAGGTACGCAGCCAGACGAGTCACTTGCTAGCAAGTGCTACGCGAAATCCTTGCCAAATCTGTCTATTCGTGTTTTGTGTTTTTCGCTTGGCTTCCAGGTCGCTTCATGTCCAACATATTTGTCCACTTTGAGCCGGTGGGGCCAATATCCGACCCGTCTACCAACAGACGACTTTTCAGAGGCGATTTGCCACCGTACCTGATTCCCGGTAAGTCTGATGATGTTGGGTGCAGTGTTGGCAATGTATGCTCTTTTGAGAAGGACTCGACTCAACCCCACTTCGTTTCCACTGCGCGGTCAAACCTGAAGGATCCGAAGAAGAGGACAACTGGCGTCGCGCAAACCCCAATGGCTGGAAAGCCACCAGGAGGAATAGCTATGACTATGGATCAACCGAAGCTCACGTCCTGGCAAATCGTGGCAATGCCTTGTCTCTCAACAAGGCCCTCGACAATAATCGAGAACTAGTCCACGCAAGAGACGACAATGGTTGGACGGCTCTGCACGAAGCCGTCAGGTCGGGCTGTTTTGACTGCGTTGTGAACCTTATTCAGAGAGGGGCGGATGTGAATGCTCTGACGGTAGACGGGCGCTCACCCCTGCACCATGCAAAGAAGTATGACTCCAGCCGATCACACAACAACAGGATCTCTCATTTTCTCCAGCGATACGGAGCCCGCGAGATGGGTCCCGAGTTATAGCTAGGTATGTTTGGCAGAAGTGAGAAAATGCCGGAGGCCCCCGGGAGTCATGAGGACAACAACAACATCCCCAATTGCAACCTACTCTCTTGGAGCTTCATTCTTCCGAGCACTGGATGTCAATCCCCGGGCTGGCGGATATAGAAAGGCTGAAACTTTGCACACCTTGCCTGCGATTACTTCTTGCAGTCCGAACACCCCAGAGGGCGCGGAGTGCATACCTGTACCAGCTATATGCACATAATGGAATGCACGTTCATGATTGAGAGTGCTGCTGCAACCTCACCAGCGCGACGTTCGCGTTCAATTCTCACGCTAAAATGCAGACAAGACTCACAAAAGATTGGCTAGTTTAAGTTTGCTATTCCTTGATGTCGGTTCTACTGTTCTACAGAGGCTGAAAGCTCATGTCATCTTTCACCATCTTTGATTTACTTCAATCTTTCTGGAAACATTTAGTCACCACTCAGACAGCATGGAGCATCGCGTCAGGACCGTTTAGTTGATGCCCTGAATCTTGACCAACATGTCGGGCCAGGTGCGCTGGTTCCCCATGTCAAACTGGGCGCGGTCCTCATCGGCCTTCTTGAAGCGCCTAAGAGCGGGAGTCTGACTTGTGGCTTGGTACAACCAGTACGCTTCGCCTTTGAGAGCTTGGGCGATGGGCACGTCAATGGACTCAATCACGCACTGCTTCGTGGCATTGATCGACTCAGAGGGCCAGAGAGCAATGCGTTTGGCCAAAGCATCAACATAAGGACCAATCTCGTCAGGGTCCAAGGCACGGTTGATGGTTCCAACTCGTTCAGCCTCGTCAGCATCAAAGTCACGGGCTCCCAAAACAATCTCCAGAGCGCGTCCCAGCCCGACTTGGCGAGCCATGCGAGAAGCACCTCCGCCACATGGCAAAATTCCCATGCCTGTGAGAAGAAAGGAATGAGTATGTGAGACAGCCAAAGCATAGATATTCCAGACGGGCTGTTTTGTTCAACATACCAACTTCCATCTGCATGAACTTGGCCTTGCCGCGAGCCGCAAAGCGCATATCACATGCAAGGGCGAACTCGTGTCCACCGCCACGTGCAAACCCTTCAATCTTGGCAATGGTAGCCTGAGGCAAGCGGCTGATGCGCCCCAAGACCGCCTGCAAATCCAATAGCTGCGCCTCCTCGCGAGAGACAGCCTTGCCAGACATGTCTTTGAGGAATTCAGTGTCAGCGTGACAGACCCAAATGTCCGGGTTGGCAGAATCGAACACAACCACCTTGACGCTGTTGTCGGCTTCCAACTTTTGAGCTAGCATGCTCAAGTCGGCAAGCATGGGCAAGCCCTGAACGTTGACGGGTGGGTAGTCAAAGGTCACGGTGCAAATTCCACCGTCAATCTTGACGCGAAACGTTGTGAATCCTTCGTACTTCATGTTGCAACGGTAGCAGATGGAAGTTTGTTGAACAAGTGTTTCTTTGGTTGGATTTGCAAGCTCAGAGAATCTGATTTGTGAGCTTTCGAACAGGTCGAAAGATTGCCTGACACCTTTCGAATCCGCTATTAAAATACAATTGGCTTTTCAAAAGGTCGTCTCCAGTACGGTACAGAGCTAAATGGAATCAAAGGGTAGATCTAGTAGGCAATCAGCTTGTACATGCGTCGAAAGATCGCCTGAACCTATTCCAATCCGCTATTAGAACAGCTATTAAAACTAGCTAGCTCAACCATTTCTGCAAAAGCGAGAGTGCCAAAGATCGCAAGGTCTGAACCACATCCCGTACCAATCCGCTATTAAAAACAGCTACTAGCTAGCTAGTATTAAAACCTACCAAGTAAGATACCGGTACCGGTACTGGTACATGTACCATGTACTACATGTACCGCGACCATAGCGAACCATTTCGAAGCCACAATAATCACGACGATCCTACCGTATCATGAAAAGTGTCAACTCTACTTGTTTTACGCAATATCAAGCCGCGCATTTGGCCGCTTTCCTGAAACAGGAAGATGATCGCAGCAAGTAGCTACTACTAGCTAGCTAGCTAGTAGTCTACTCGTAGTGTTTGAGCTCACCAAGCACCCTCAAGTACTGCAAAAGATCCTGCAAGAAGCAAATCAAGTTTGTGGCAAGGTTGACGGTGAAAATGGTAGAGACTATTCAGTTGGTCCCATTTGCAAAGTTAGAAAATATCCACATGAAATGTTGTCCTGGAAGTTCTTCAACTGCACCCCTCAGTTCCAGGGCAGCGCAAATTTGCCATCAAGGATGATGTCTTGCCTGATTGAACATTCATTCCCAAGGGTGGTGGCTACAGTGTCCTATCCATCCTACACCATGGGAAGGAACACCCGGATCTGGGGAAGTGATGCTGCTGAGTTCAAGCAAGCCAACAAGGAACCAGAAAGAACCACCAGCATTCTGGTACAAAGTCTCTAATGCAGGAAAGAGGCTGTGAAAGCCAATGGCCCTGAACACCTTGAGATTTGACACTGGCCTATCTGACCCAAAGACTCACGATCGATGGGTCCTACTGTACAATTCATCCATTGTCCTTGGTATGAAAGGTGGCTTTCCTGTCCAAGGCAAGCTGCAAACAAAATAATGCTACAAATGTCTACCATACCGGTAGGTAGCTTGTTTGCTGTTGCATTTGAAGTTACTGTACTGTGAATCGCCAGCGGTAAGTCCCCGGTTCCGCGCCGATAAAATTGTACGACGCCATTTCCTAGTAGCTAGTTGTTGTAGACAGACATTCACCACACAACTGAGTGTCTTCCCGGAACATCCATCCCGAGGAGCGGCGGCTTGCAGCAGTACTGTTGCTTGCTAGCTAGCTAGCTTGTAGCTCGGTTTGTCATTGCCAGGTGGCCAATACTTATTTATTCTTCCTTGTTTATTTCTTTCTGTTTTCGTATATTGTATCGGACCATCCTCGAAATTCCCGCCGCTACAGAAGCCGTGACAAAAATGACACCTGCCCAGGGGGAATCTCCCGCCGAAGTGCTAGCGTCGACACCGTTGTTTCCCAGAAGCAGCAAACTCCCTATTGCCACAATCGCCACACCCAAGGGCGAGCCATCTTCGATTGTTGTAAATGAAGGCGTTCCTTCATTGCTGTCTTTCCTATTTGGTGCTGCTTGGATTTTTGGAACCGTTTGGAGGCTGTGCCTACGAAAGAACAAATGGCTCGGCGTTGGACCGTGATGAGAGGTTGTTGAAGTCAAAGATCGCTTGGTGGAACCCAATGAATATGGCAATAGATTCGCTGAAAAGGCTTCAGATCCATCTACAATCAGGAAGAAACACAACAACAAGCAAAGCCAGGATAGGAGAGCAGTAGTAGATACCTTCATGTCCATCTAATTCATGGATGAGGCATGCATCGAACAGATCTGCGCTTGGTTCGCTGTGTGCTGTGTGTGGGGTCGAGCCCAAACTTTTGCAGCTTTGAACGCTCAAAACGTTTTGCAGCTGTGACGGCTCAAGGATCGACTGTCTTGAAATGACCGCGATGCCAGGAAGGTGGCATCAACCTTTGACTGGGCTTCTCATAGCTCCTCTCGTGTGAATAGCATTCATTCTCACCACTTATTTTTGTTTCTCACCAAGCTACCAGGTAGCTAGTACTCTGTGTACTCATTTTCTCTGTTGGTTGTTGTTTACCATTGCAACAGCTTGACTCGAATCACCATTCATTTTCCACCACCACGATGCCGCTTCTTCTTGCAACATTGTTTTCTTCGTTTCTGGCAGTGACACTGGCTGACAATGGTGTCTACATGGCCGATTATGGCGTCGATGTTTCCTACCCCATGCATTACCAGGAAGTCTCCAAGAATTATCACTGGCTCCCACACAATCTGGATTCTTCCCTGGAAGTCCCTCCCGAACACCGTGATCGCCCTGTGCAACGCTTTGGGGATCGGCAGACTGCCTATGATAAACTCATCCAGGGATGCGATGATCATTATGGTCCGAAAAATGGATTCCGGTGCTATGAAAACGAAAAAGATCGAATTGCCATGAATCTACGACAGCCCCAATCCATGGTCAATTACACCAAGCTGGGATTCACCAAAATCAAGGCTCCAGAAGCAGTCTTTAAAGTGATTCAGGAATTCTGGAACAAAAACCGTCATCGAGCCCTCGAAGAAAGCTGGCCCAAGGGGTAAGAGAGAATTACATACAGACAGAAAGTCATCAATGATCGTGAACCAAGAAGAAACCAATCAATGGATGGATTTCTCTGACTTTTTCTCCGTGCGTTGCTTTGTCTGCTCCATTTTTTTATTCCCATCCTTCTATCAACTCCAACAACGATCCACACTATCTTTTGTTTTGATGCTCTGGTTATTGTTTGCAATTTACTCTTCTTTTTCGCTGGGCGCAAAAACACAGAAACACCTATGTCAATCACTGGGAAGGACGATCTCTCATGGCCAATGTGGAAAGCACCGATATGGTAGGAGGAGGACAGGTCATCAAACAACAAATTTGGAATGCGGCACGAGATACCATTCAGGAATGGACGGGACAGCGGGTGGCGGAATGCTCACTCTATGGCGTTCGAATCTACGAGGAAGGAGCGGTGCTGGCCACTCATGTGGATCGACTGCCATTGGTTAGTTCGGCCATTATCAATGTGGATCAAGATGTGGATGAACCATGGCCTCTGGAAGGTATGTGCTACTCCTCATCATCGCCAGACCACCAAACAACAATAGGAAATCATCCATTCACTGCTCAAACGTTTCGCATTCACAATGGTTACACAATCATCCAGTCATTGGGCACGACGGCAAGGCATACGTGAGTACAGAGATCAGCGAAAAGTGGAGATTGTGTTTGTGACATTGATTGAACCTCGTACTAATGATTGGAACCGGTTTCTCTGAACAGAATGTCACTATGGAACCTGGGGATCTTGTTCTTTATGAAAGTCACAGCGTACTTCATGGAGTAAGTTGCCATAGTTTTCAGTGCTCGCCTGCTCTTGGTCAGAGGACTCTACCTAACTAATCTCTCCTATTTTTGTTCTCATTTTCTTGCTATGCAGCGTCCATTCCCACTCAAAGGTGAGTGCCCCAAACTTTATTCAATTAAGCAGGGTGGCAATTAGAACAACTGATTTTCTAACCCTGGTGTCTTTCTCGCTGACAGGGCGCTACTTTGCCAATATCTTTGTCCATTTTGAGTAAGGATTGAATCATCGTTTGCTTTGTTTGTTTCAAGACGCGAGGTTACAGGTTAAATTGGGAAACTGACTGACTTGATGTGCTGCGCCCGGTATCTTTTGCAGACCCATTGGCAAGCTTGGCGAAGCATCCATACCGGAAGGAGGTCTCCCGCCCTATGTCATTCCAGGTGAGCAAGGCAGTGCCGATGCGATGATTCACTCTTTCTTTGGGTTGAATACATGCGTCTAATGAAAATCGTTTGGTTTCGAATGCTCCTGCGTACTGTAGGATCGCCACAAGAGCCTGTGTGGCGGAATGAAAACCCGGATGGATGGAAACTTATGCAAACGGAGGAGATTACAGCGGGCGCCACTGAAGCGCACAGGATTGCCACCAAAGAGGATTATGGATTACTGAATAAGATTCTTGATGCCGATCCCAGTTTGGCCAATGCCAAGGATGTCAACGGTTGGACTCCACTGCATGAAGCAGTTATCAAATCCTCCGAAGCCATTGTGGAGTTGTTGATAGAAAGTGGGGCCGATGTCAATGCAGTCACCAATGGTGGCGATACAGCTCTGAGTCTTGCCACGGCATACAAGGGCCAAGATCATTCCCTAGTTTCATTTCTCAGGAGTCTAGGAGGAAAGATGGGATCGGAACTTTAAATAAAGGAAGAACAACTGCAACCTAGGCGCCAGAAGGAACTCTGATTCCACCCGAGACGACAATCTATGATTAGGCTATTGATGTTTCGAGCATATTATTTACAAGGTTTCTTATTTTAGTAGGTTTGCACTTTTGGACATTTGGATCAACCGGATATGGAATACATGGGCTGTTGGCTTTTCGGTTCTTTCTTGCCGCTGCTACCGGTATTTTTCGGGGACGATGCTTGTGGTGCTGCTGCTACTTTGTACGCATCTGGCGACACCACTCCCGGCGGTAACTCCCAATCATCCGGAACAACATCGCGAGGAATGTTCACCTTGAATACGCCTCCCTGTGCCGCCATGGGAACTGGCTTTTTGAGGTATTTCACCTTGACAATTTCCGTTACAATGCGTCCACTATCCGCTCCGTAGGCACAAATCTGTTGTTGCATGGCGGATTCACTGCGTTGTTGGAGTGTCGTTTCATACGTCTTGCCAATTTCCAGAATGGCCACCACCATGCCCTTGCCAAATCCACCAGTAGTGGGCAATGACTTGCGCTTGGTAATTTCGCCATTGTCCAATCCCTGATCGTTCATGATTTCCAAATGCCGATTGCCATCGGGATACGTGCGCCGACCAACATGCAGCAACATTTGGGTTCCTGCCGGGTATGGTTTAAACATGGTCCCATTTCTGGATTCCAATGTTTTGTGTCCATTGGCCAAGAGAGCGGCAAACGGCATGTTCATGGAAAAGGCTCTCATGGAAATGGTTTCGTCATTGCTATTGTTGCTATCGTTGTCGACCATCTCAATATTGGCGGCACGAAATTTTCCATTGCGTGGATCCTTTTGAATGGTAAATCGAAGTTTGTCGCCCTTTTCCACAGTGGTGACACCCGCTGGTAGATTGCTAAAGTGAAAGAACATGTCATTGTTGTTGTTGCCACGTCCACCTCCAGCAGCCTTGTTGTTGTTCTTGTATTGAATGAATCCAAATCGTTTGTCGTAATTGACTGTTTTGATGGTACCCTCGTGTATATCACCGCCAGCAGCACTATTACTATTGGCACTGGTAGTCACAGATCCATCCCACTCGACAATGGTATTGGGTTGTCCATTCCAATTTTGGTACTGTTGCAATGCCGTTTCCCAGACGGCACTCGTCTCCAACCCCGTCGGACAATGAACGCTCAAGACTCCCATGGCACTGACGGGTTCACAATTGCCATATTTGCCATCGCGGGAGTCATCAAAAAACAACATATCCGCATACTCTAATTTAGAATCACGACGCAAGTGTTCAAAATGTTGTCGTTTGTGTCCGGGAAAAATCTCGACATAATCCAGCAATGCTCGCAATTCGAATTGATCCAACAAATCGTGGGCCCAGTCGACCGATTTCGTGCGACTGGCCACGGCAAATTGGGTGGTGGGTGGAAAGTACGTTTGCGAACGAATCTTGGAAATCAAATCGCGGGCACCAGGAAAAAGTTGGACATGTTTGTGGGCAATGGGAGTTTGATTATTGGCCCGTTGGAGTTTGCGCAGTTGATACAGTTCCGGTGTCCAGACGGTATTGTCCAAATCCAAGACAATGAGTTTGGGGAATTTGGTTATCTTCTTGTCGTTGTTGTTGTCGTTCGCAGCAGAAGCCATTGTTGTGGTTGTACAGCAGAGATGATGGGTGCCTTTAATGGGTTGAAATGCGAGGATGTCTTGCAGATGACAAGACAGAAAGAAAAACACTACGGGTGCCCAAGAACGCCGAAAGAGACGGGTGCCACCTGTGGCCATGATTTTGGGTCCTTTCTACTAGGATGAATCGAATGAATTGGCAAAGTGCTTTTGAGATGGCCAACTGAGCGGAGCACCTGTAACGAAGAATTGTGAGAGGAGTGGTGGTGAGGTCAAGTAAGTTGCTGACGACAAGTGCGTCATACGTCACAAAGTGTTGTTGGTGGCAGTAAAAAGTGAATGATTGCGGCTCGACCCACGGCTACTTCACCTGTCATGTAAGACTGGTGAGTACTCCTTCGAAGAGTGCCTTCAAGATTTAAAGGTAAATTAGCTACGGAAGAATGACTGCATTCTCGCTTGTAGTCACGTACCGTACAGTACTCACAACATCCAACCCACCGGTACTACCAGCGACAAAGCTGGATGCATGACGATAGTCATGTGACTCGACGATAGACGAGCTGGAGAAGCGCACTCCAGACAAAAAGGTATCAACGAACATCTCACAACCCATTACCACTGCTTTCCTGTTATCGTCTTTGGCATCGTGCCGTAGCCCTCCGATTATTTCTACTAGCTAGCTAGCTATCGATTTGATAGAATGCTAAGAAGGAACCCAACCATGAAGGCAGACGACAACAGTAGCACAGCGGTCACATGGATTCTTGCGAGGCGCAGCCAACTGCCTTGGCAGAGGCGGACACGGAAGATTTCCTCATGCAGATCGTACAATTTCGGGCCAATGGGCACAGCGGCTGTGCGCTTCCAAGAGAAGACAACGGAGTTGTGGAGGCTCACGTCATGATTGATTGCCAGCGGTGAAAAGAGCGATCTAAAAAAAGTGTCATTTGCCAAAGCTCCACTATGGTAGTAGCCTACAATAATAATAATAATGAGATGGAACGTCTCGTCAGGTCCAAGTGTACCGTTTCGTTCGAGACCAGCTCGCAACAACACAGCAAGGCATCAACAACAACACAGGCCACAAATGATGATGATGCCTACACAAATAATTCAATGATGCACATGGATGAATCCGGTGCCACTCCAGGGACATGTGCTACTACTACTACTGGAGACATTGTAAGCGGATCTCTAGTAGCAGCGGAGCATATCCACCACAGCAATATTGCAACAACAACAACAGAGGAAGAATGCACCGACGACTTGACTGCAGAGCCCCCTCGGTTGGTCCGTCAACCACAGCCAAGAATAAACCCTCAACAGCAGAGGGGTCCAGGTGCTTTTGCATCTGGCATGGATACGCATCTCGGGGAGGTTTCCTCCTCATCGGGTTCAGTGGCTCTGTTTGACGAGGGTTCCACAGTGCTAGTAGAAAGCGAAGCTCTTCATAGTACCGGTAGTTCCCGTTTGGCCGTGGCCACACTTGTGGAGGGAAGTGCTGCTCTGTCCACTCAAGATCTGCAACGGGCCAAAGCTGTCAACCAGACAACGAACGTTCAAGCGGGCGTCACAGGAAAGAAGCTATATCATTAGCAATCTTGGGGGGCGGAGTCATTGTGCTGATCATTCTCGTTGTTGTACTTCTGGCTAGAAAACCCGACAACAAGGATGCTGCTGGATTGCATGGGTCGCAAGAGGCATATGGGATATCCAGTAGTAGTCCTTCTGAAGCTCCCACATCCCTGGAAGGAAGAATACTCTCACTGTTCCCCAAAGAAAGCGTTGAACCCATTCTGGAAGAACCAGACTCTGCACAAGCTAAAGCCTTTGCATGGTTGTTGGAAGATATGAATCACAATCATCTACCTACAGAAGACCGAATCCGACAAAGGTTTGCTCTGGCAACCCTCTACTTTTCCAGTTCTGGAGACTTGTGGACATCCAATCAGTACTGGCTAGACCACAGGGTGCATGGGCGTGACTGGTACAACAACAGAGACTTTGCTGCCAAGAATTCAATCTCAACCATCTACCCTGGATTCCTGAAAGAATTTCACCCTCCCACAGACCCACCACCCACAAGGTGCAATGCTGAGAGTAAATACCTGAACCTTTGGCTGGACCAGAACAATTTAGTGGGATCTCTGCCACTGGAACTATATCTGCTGACACCCCTTGTGACCATGTCATTTGGCTACAACAAGCTGCAAGGATCGATTGCAAGTCATGTTGGATATCTCACTTCTTTGGAGGGGCTGGTACGTTGTCTTGATTGATGGATGAATGCTTGTAATTGGCTTCGATCGGGATCTAACTGCGGAAGTCTACAACACAGTCGGTAAAGAGAAATACCAATGGTGGCAAGATTCCTACAGAATTGGGATTGTTGACAAACTTGCGAGCTCTGATGCTTGCAGGCAATGATCATGAAGGTACCCTCCCTACAGAACTGCTTCAGCTGACCAACATGATGACACTACTCATTATGAACAATCCTCGATTGCATGGCACTGTTTCATCCGAGCTTGGACTGTTTCAACGCTTGAGGTGGATTGTATTTGACAATTGCAATTTGACAGGTGAGGGCTGGATTGAGCAGTACCAGTAAGGAAACCCAATCTTGGATCCTGACAAGTTTTGTGGTCATTCTTTTTTCCCTTCAATGTTGCAGGCACCATCCCTCAGGAACTTGGGCAGATAGAATCCCTTGAGTGGCTTGTGCTCGTCAGCAACAAGCTGACAGGGACCATTCCGCCACTAGACCATCTTTCAAACCTTCTGTTCCTGTCAGCATGGTCAAATTACTTGACTGGGTCAGTTCCTAGCAATCTTGGAGACTTGACATCACTCACAGCAATGAAGGTAAGAGCGTGACCATGACCTTCTACCTCATTCTACCCTTCTCAACCGCTACATTCTGTTTACATCCCAATTCAATGCAAGCTTGAAAACAATCAACTATCAGGGTACCTCCCAAGTGAGTTAGGCCAGCTGACAGACTTAAATCTAACACTGGAATTGCAGAATAATCTGCTCTCCGGAACTATCCCAACAGAACTGGGACTCCTAAGAGCACTGAAAGAGGTCAGTGCTTGTCTGACCCTACTAGGTTGATTTTCCAAACAAGGGAGCTCATCCACTTTCTTGTTTTCTTATTCAGGTATCTTTGCATGGCATGAACTTGACAGGCTCAATTCCTTCAGAACTTGGCTTGGCTACATCCCTATGACTGCTACATTTGGCAAACAATTCTCTTGTTGGAACGGTTCCACGAGAGCTGGCCTCTCTAGAGATTCTTTATGCACTACAGATTGATGGAAATCCACTACTGTCTGGAACAATTCCTCCTGGTTTGTGCAACATCAATGGAAGCTGTGTCGATCATGCGTTGAACATGTGTGAAGGGGAGAAAGGTATCTCATTTGACTGCACAGGTTTATTGTGTGGATGTGACTGCTCCTGCAGGTAGTACCCCAACAAACCTATAAAGATTTGGCTTCATTGGGTGTGTACCGGTACTTTGTACCGTATGACTTTGTACATGTAGCTGTGCCACAAACCCTTCACCCATTGAAAACGATCTTGCTTATCTTGTCCAGCTTGAGCTTTTTCATCGTTGGCGTTATCAACCCCATAGTGTTCAAAGCAGGCGATCCGATCAAGTAGCGATGGATGCTTCGCACTGTTTTCGTTTGGCTGCATGGCTGAACCCAACATTTGACGGAGTTTTTCAAAGCCAGAGTTGCTCGCGAATGGAATCGGGTCGAGCCAAGGGACGCCTTATCCAGCTTTTTTTTTGAACACCCAAGCAGCTCACATCGTCGTCTCCGACGGCGCATGACGTTGCCTTGTACGAGAACATCTCCGTCTCCCGATTCATTGACGTTTGATGGATTTCTGGATGTGTTTCGGTAGCCTCACCTAGGATCCTGAGAAGCTGTGGCTTTTCTTTCTCAGCTCTGCCTGCTTGTTGCACAGTTGTCTATTAGAGCTGAGGTTCAAATAGTCATTTTTACATGAACAGTGACCGCTCTGTGACATGAAAGAACTAGGCCTTTTGGTGACCCGGTCACGACCAAATGCCAATTCAAATCTTGCTTTATTGGCGACGGCAGCGCGCGATGACGGTGCCTGCATGCTGTTCTTGCGGTCGAGCAGGAGGCGTGAGGACAGTCTCAACTCCCACGATTTGTCGTTCGCATTTCAGCTTTTCTGCATTTTTTTCAAGTCCAAAAACCAGCCAACGTTCGCTTTTGTTACCATACATCATTGCAACCCAGCATCCATCTTCGCTTACTTGTCTCCGCCAACACGGTCATCATCTGTCTCTTCCACTTGCTCAAGTACTAATAGCCCTCCTCCCGAAAGATACACCAGCAGCCCTGTCTCCTTGTTGCAATAATGGCGTTTTTCCGATATTTCTATTGGTTTCTCTTGGCATCGGCCGTGGCGGCCCAAGCTGAAGATGCCGTGGAATACGGTGTGGATGTGTCGTTTCCCATTCACCATCGAAGAATGAGTGACAATTATGCATGGCTTCCACACAACAACAACAATGGCCACCACAAGACGCCCAAGCGGTACGAGGACATGGTGGTCTCTCCTTTGCCGCACCGAGAAGAAGCCTACCAAGAATTTCTAAAATCGTGCGAAGAAGCCTTTGGAAAGAAGGGAAGCCGCTGTCGCATGACCGAACAAGATCGGATTGACATGAGTTTGCGACAACCGCAGAGTATGCAGGTGCGTTTGTTTGTTTGTGTGTTTGTTTGTGTGTTGACTGCTGCTTGACGGTGGTGGCGTGTGTGACTGACTGACACTCTAACTAACATAACTGTTTGCCTAACTCACTCACTTACCAGAACTACACAGATATTGGATTCAAAAAGATCAAAGCACCAGAGAAAATGTTCAAACTCATCAAGGACTTTTGGGAGGCCAACAAGGACAAACAAAAGAAGGAAACTTGGGGGACTGCCAATACCTACACGTGAGTGTGTTTTGTTTCTTTCTTGGATTTGATACACGGTACCAGTTCAGCAACAGGCTGGCTAGGAATCGAATCCACCGACACTTCCATCTCTCTCTCTCCTTTGACATGATGAACATGAATGAAACAACAATTCACAGCAACAACTGGGTCGTTCCTACGGTACGAAAGAATTGGGTGCAGCAGACTAGCCAGCGCGGGAGTTGAATTGAATTGAATTGAATTGGGTCCTTCCTCATGCACAAGTTTTGTGTTTCATTTTCACTATATATAGTACATGGTTTCTGTGGAAGATTCAGGTTTGCGTGGTGGTGGCTTTGGCTTGAAGCAACAAATTTGGAATGCGGCACGAGATACCATTCAAGAATGGACGGGACAAGAATTGACCGAATGCTCACTCTATGGAATTCGCGTCTACAAGGGAGGATCCATCTTGTCCACCCACGTGGATCGATTGCCATTGGTCAGTTCCGCCATTATCAATGTGGCAGCCGATGTCGATGAACCATGGCCCTTGGAAGTATACGGTCACGACGGCAAGGCCACCAATGTCACGATGGAACCGGGGGACATGGTCCTCTACGAATCGCATTCGGTCCTTCATGGTCGCCCGTTCCCATTGAAGGGACGATATGTGGCGAATATTTTCATTCACTTTGGTAAGCCAACAACAACCAATAGTGGACGATAGCCATTGTAGGGCATGCCACTCTCATTTCTTTCTTTTGATTCTCCTTTTCCTCTCTCGAAATTAGAACCAACGGTACGAAAAATGGAGGACGAGCCAGTAGGGCAGCACGGGTGTCGAATTGGGTCCTCCTCATCCACAAGTTTGTTTTCATTCCACACAATACAGGGCCACAGTCTTCGTCATGAAGAAAAGTTAGAGGAGGAACAAAAGGCTCGAATGGCAAAGGAAAAGAAGACTGATAGCTGGGTCTCACAATACAAATTGGCTTCCAAGATGGGTTTTGGTGGACATGAAAATGATAACAGTGGTCTTCCGCCTTACATTATTCCCGGAACTCCCGAGGAGTCAAACTGGAGACGCAGTCATCCCAGTGGACACGTGAGTATGATAACGTTTGCTTGCATCTGTCACGTACCGTACCGTATGCATGCCAGTCCTCACTCTTTGATTGATTCGATTCATTTGCGCCCGCAGAATGAGAACTTTGACAGCTTCACCACTGGGTCCACACCCGTCCATTTCGCCGCACAAAAGGGTGACTTGGGAGCCATCAAGAAACATGTACATGCTGCGAAAGAAAGTATCAATGCGAAAGACAAGAATGGTTGGACCCCTTTACACGAGGCTGCAAGAGGTGGCCACAGAGATGTGTAAGTAGCTACCGGTAGAGGACAAAGAAAACGTCTGTGGCCTAGCCAGTGGCGCCAACATTGATCTCAATACTGCCTTGTTGCTGCTGCTTCTGCTCTATAGTGTCCAATATCTGGTCGAAAATGGTGCCGATTACAACGAATTGACTGGAGTTGGAGAAACTGCACTTTGGTGGGCCCGTCATGAGTTTGGCGATGAACATCCCGTGGTCGAATTCCTAGAGGGGATGGGGGCCTTGGAGATTGGTCCTGACCTCTAAGAAGTGTGTTTCGTATCCATGATGTACATGTACCATCAGTTTTACAAGTACCGGTACGAGCGAGACGGGGGCAGCAGTTTGCGTGGGGCCGGATGTTGCTGCTCGCCCCCAACCTTTAGAATGCATACAACAAACTATTCGACGTTTTAGAAAAGCAGAAGCAGAATAATGCCCTGCCGTGTTGGTTTAGTATGTCGCAGACATGAATGCCTCATTGTATTATGCATGCATGAGTCGGACGGTCCAGGGAAAACAAACTATAGCTAGCCCGGTGTTCACCTGGGATCTCTCTCTCTCTCTCTCTCGGTCTCTCCTTGCAGCACAAAGTGAACCTTGCTTGGTTGGATTCGATTCTCGCTGCCCGCCCCCACCAGTCATCCACCACGCACCACGCCGTGACAAATTCAATTCAGTCGTCGAGTCACAAATTCTAGCACGATATCTTGCTGTGTCACCGCTCAATCTAAAGCTGATAGCTACACGTAGGCAGCTAAAGCTAGGCCCGGAGGAGGAGAGCTCACATCAGGTTGTCAGCACCACAGTACAAAGGACCCAGCCACCTTGGCCAGCAACGTGGCTTCTGGTTTCCACTCGGAGGCAGGCAAGTCGTGCAATCGTTGGCCTCATGTTACTGTACTCTTTGGTCTGGACTGTCACTCGACTCTCTCCCCATCCATTCTAACCAAAACTTGAAAGAGAGTAACGAGGCAATACTTAGAATAGCTCATCAACCTCTAGCTAGCTTGGCATGACGCCATGCTGTATTGATTGGTTCTTGGTGAGGAGCCACGAGCAAGAAGCCAGGCCAAACAGAAACCAAACCATAGATATTCAAACCAGATTTGATTCTACTCCATTTGCGAAAGCCATCTACTAGCTAGCTAGCTAGCTAGATGGCTACTCCTTGAGAGCCATGGTGATCCTTGGCGCACAGACGAATGCCCAGATCGAATGATCAATCATTCATTCGATTGCTCGATTCGATCCGATCGGAGATTTGATTCATCATTCATTCGGAAGACTGGGGTTGGATTTCTTGACGGTCTGTCCGGTTCACCCCAACTCTAACCCAGTGGTCACGAGAAAGTGCCTTTTTGTCTAAAAGGTAGGCTAGGTAAATACGGTGTTGTATAGAATTATGCAAAGTAATATTTATCTTCAACTCTATTTATACCTCAACTACGTATCTCTTTGCTGACTTGACAGCGTGTTGTGCCTTTCACCTGAAACCCACAGCGAGCCGCTCTAATCAATCGGCACCGTCGGCTCCACTCACACCCACACCAACAACCAACCAACCAGCCAGCCGCAATCGTACCGGTAGTCTAGCTAGTTGTTTGGTTGTTTTTATTATTTTATCCAAGTATCTGCTTTCGGATATATAAGCGTATATCGATACCAACCAGAGTAAGGTCTCAAGTGCATGTCTTTCGTTCCTGCCCCGCAGCAGGCGAATGTCGCCAGCGCCAACAGAACCAGCAACAATGCAGTTGCGGTGAATAATAACAATGCGGCTGCGGCCGATGAAGCCGGTGGCATCGATGAGGATCTCATCTTCAAGATCCGAACGTTCGATGTCTATTGGGTAGAAAAGTATGCCCTCATGTACAAGGCCGGTGTCGATAAGGTGAGCAAGCAATGGAATTTTTTTTTGCAAATGTCTCGAGAGAGAATGGATGAAATGAATGAATGGATTGGATCCAAAAGCGTCACAATTTGTGGCCACGAATTCGATGCCCCACTGGGATGGATGTCTCGTTCCTGGCCAAGTCTAATTTTCTCTTGTGCTACATTCTCTCTTGATCGCTGTCTGTCTTTCTACTGTACCAGATCTTTGACAAGGACACGAGAAAGGCCCAGTATGTGACCAAACAGCGGTCTTCGATTCCCGTCATTCTGAGGGACATGGCTCCACCGGAAGGTTCCATTTTCGACCCTGCCAAAAAGTGGGAGGAAGAAAAAAAGCGTCGTGCCAAGGCCTTCTCGGTCCAAGCCAGCGAAGAAGCAGAGGCCGCTGCCAAGGCAGCCGAAAAGGGCAACAAGAAGGGATCCAACAAAAAAGGTGCCAACAAAAAGTCCACGGCCGACACCATCAAGGAGTCCAATGCTGCCGAAAAACTCAAAAAAGATCACGAACGTGATTTGCAAAAGTTGTCAAACCTCAAGACTCTCAAGACGTTGCAAGATGCCACTTGTGAAACCACGGGAGGAAAAATTCATCGCATGATCAAAATGCTACACATGGCGGTCTGCGATTTGAGGCAGGGTGTCGTTCATGGCAGCGAGGCGGAAGTCTTGGATATTCTATGGGCACTCGAGGAAATGCAGGCTTTCAAATCTGCCGATGAAGAAGTCGCCAAGGAAAAAGCCATGAAGAAGGAAGCCAAGGAACAGGAAAAGGCAGACAAAAAATCTTCCAAGAAGGATAAGAAAGGAGACAAGAAGAAAAAGGACAAGAAGGACGAGAAAAAGGAGGAAAAGAAATTTGTGCTGAGCCCCGACGGAAAATCTCTTCGTGATCTCTACAAGGATGGGTCGGACAGTCGCGGGTCTTACAAGGATTCACTCAAGCACGCCCGAAAGCTCATGAGCAGCAAAGAGAACTTGATCTCCTTCCAGTTGACAGAGATGGCGGACCGCTTGCCTCCTCTTAGTCGGTACAACCGCACCTTTCGCCTGGAGGATTGGCAGTGTGCCATTCTGGAAGCCATCGACGAGAAAAGATCCGCCGTCGTGTGTGCTCCCACCTCGTCTGGAAAGACCCTCCTCAGTACATACACCTGTAAGAACGCTGGAGGTACCGTCCTGTTTGTCCTTCCCAGTGACGTTCTCGTTTGGCAGGTTGCCGCTACGTACTACGAGTTCTTCAAGGGAAACGTGACGGTCTGTACCGACTTGATTACATTCCAGGAAGTCACGGGCGATGCTCAGGTCTACATTGGGACGCCCTGTGCTCTCGAGCGCTGCCTCAGTAAGGTCAGAGGATGCGCTGGAGAGGAAATGGCCAAAGGAGAACGCGAATTCATGATTCTTGACGGTGGCTACAGTCAGTTTAAATACTTGGTCTTGGATGAAGTACATACCCTCAACGGTCCCGAGGGTGATGCAATTCAGCGCATTATCAAGACGTGCAACTGTCCCGTTCTTGCCTTGAGCGCCACCATTGGAAATGCATCACAGCTCAGAGATTGGTTCACGTCTGTTCGCAAGGACCAAGCGGAACAGGATATCGATGCATCGGAGGCCGATCAGGAGGTTGTGTTGAAAGAACATTCGGCTCGATTCATCAACTTGCAGCGCTACGTAGTCACGCAGTCGGAGGGCAAAGACGGCAAGATCAAACAGAAACTGGTGCGCCTTCATCCCGTGGCGGCCATGACACCGGATCGCCTCAAGAATGAGCCCGAGTTGATTGGTTCTCTTTCCATGACCCCTCGTGACTTGATGGATTTGTGGAAGCGTATGCGAGCCATCTTTCCTGGGACTGTCTTGGAAGAGATGGATGATCCGGACAAATTCTTCAGTTCGAAGGTGGATGAAAGCAAGAGGATCACCCTCAATCAGACGAAAGATTACGAAGTTCGTCTCAAGGCTCGTCTTGCCGCTTTGGCGGAATCCCATCCTGACCTCTACGAAAGACTTCGCAAGGCTCAGCTTCCTCCTCCTTTGGAATCCAAGGCGGACGTGAGCGACATCCTCTATGGTGTCGTTGATCAGTTGAAGCAGAACGACTTGCTCCCAGCCGTCGCCTTTCAGCTCAACACCTACGGAGCGTTCAACATGTTCAAAACACTCCTTCGTGATTTGGAGAATGCCCAGATTGCTGAGTTCCCCAACTATCGCAAGGATCTCATCAAGCTTGCCCGCGAGAAGGCGGCCTTGAGAAAAGTGGCTGCTGGTAAGGCTGATCGCGTCAACGCTGCCGAGGCAGAGGAGGAAGCCAAGTCAGGTTTCGTTGATGAGTCGTTGATTCAGGAAGATACGACCAAACCACACGACAAATACGTGCTTTCGTCAGCCGGAAAGCGTTTGAATTTCAACGAAGTTGAGGATATCATTGCCGACATGAAGAAAGCCGGAGAGCAAGTAGACATCAACCATGCTTTGATCCGTGGTCTTCGCCGTGGTATTGCCATCTACACAAATGAAGTTGGTTTCGCTTGCTACCGTCGTCAGGTCCAAATGCTTGCCCAGAAGGGTCGTCTGGCAGTTGTCTTCTCTGATGACGCCCTTGCCTACGGTGTTAACATGCCTTTCCGTTCTTGCATTTTCTGTGGTGATATGGGCGACGCGTTGACTCCGTTGATTGCCCAGCAGATGCAGGGTCGTGCCGGTCGTCGTGGTCTGGATGTGCAAGGAAACATTTTCTACCTCGGTATGGAATGGCCGTACATTGAGAATCTGATGCTTGGTCAGATCAGTCACGTCACCGGTAAACAGCCTCGTTATCCGATCATGAACTTGCAGTACGCGTTGGCTGCTTCGAACGACCCCGATGATTTGAAGCACTTTGCCCACGAAGGGCCTTTCGCCAATGCAGTGAAGAAGATCCAGAGGTCGCGCATGTGCTTCCCTACGGTGACGGAGACCCAAATGAAGTGGATGTGCAAGACCACCCTCGAGGACTTCTGTAATGGCAAGGAAACTGACTACTTTGAGGTTTCCAATAAGGTCATCGAAGGGCTCGGTTATGTCCATGATGACATGACTCTGGCAATGGACCACAACGTGTTGTCCTGTGTGTGGGAGATGTACAGGACGATGCCAGAAGCCATTCATCTTCGCTCGATCCTCGAGCAAATGTACATTCGTTTCTGCTTCAACAAGACCAAGAGCTTCAAGGAAAGCGATTCCACCCAGAACGATTTCTTGTCTGTGTTGTTGCACGTTGTGGATCGCGTCCCCGTCAAAGAAGGCGAGGAAAGTCTTCAGGACTTGCTGCGTGTCGTGGGCTCCGAAGACGGAAGCAAGCCTGTGAATGATGATGCTCGCTCAATGTGGATGGAAACCGAGAAGTGTCTTCGGGAAGAGCATGATCGCATCAACGGTCTTGACATCGATCAGCCTGAGAAGGACAAGATGCATCTCGTGATTCCTCCTGGCAAGGACGATGACGACGTTGGACCCCCTCTGGATAAGGGCGTCTACGAGATGCTCATTTCGAAGCAGAAGGGTTTCCGCGATGATCAAGACGTCGTGAGGCGCAACGAGTTGAAGAACCGCATCGTGGCGTTGGGTGAGTTTTGTCAACTCGCCCACAATACCCTGCAGCAGCCGCACGGCAAGTACAGTGAGCTTGAGGTGCATTTCCGTCGCATGTTCAATAACATCAAGTACAGCGTTGCGGATATGATGAATCAGCTCACCGACCAGGAAGATTTGACATTGGTGTAATCGTGGGCTGTGACTGTGACATGACATGTAGGGGTGCTGTGGCATCTGTTTCGTTTCTCGTGGCTTGAATGAACTGGTGGTAAGGACCTTCTTAACTTTCTATTAATATTGGACTGTTATTTGCATTTGCATAACCAATGGTTCTATGGTGGTATTCTTGGAGGCTAGAGCTAGAAGGTTGCAAATGAGAAACCTCTTCCCAGCGGTAAGGTACATTCTCCATCTGCTATATGGAGCGTCCCTCAATCGTGTTTGATGGAAAAACCAACCCTAAATCTTTGAAACCCACCCTAACGCTCGAAACCCGACCCAAAATAGAAATCCGACCCTAAATGAGGGACGGGTTTTCAGAAACCGACCCTATGAAAAACCGTCCCTCATTTAGGATCGGAAATCAATGTATTTACCATTCAGTCCCGTTTAGTTTTAAGGACGGTTTTCTAACTCGACCCTAAATCGAAATCCGACCCTAAATTTTTAGGGTCGGTTTTCAAACCGACCCTAATTTTTAGAGTCGGTTTTCAAACCCGACCCTAAATCCGTCCCTAAATTAGTGTCGTTTCAGATTTAACTGAATACACGATTGAGGAACGCTCCTGATTTCTGGCTCCAAACATAGAAACCACCAAAAGTGGTAGGGAATGATCCATGCATAAATATCTGTGCTTCGCCGACATGGGCCTGGAATCAACCAGGATTGTGAGGAGGAATACAGTAGCACATGCTGTTGTGCTTGCTTTCCGAGATGCCTGGGAGATGCCCTTGGACACTATCGTGCTTGGCACAGAAAGCATCTTACAGGGTTAGATGCTGATACATCTTGATGAGGAAGACCTCCACAGCAGTGATGCGAGATATCCCCAATTCTATTTGCCTAACTATAACTATAACGAATGGATGCAAGCTTGCTCACCGAATTCCTAGTAGGACGAACATGGATTGAGCCTTAGATCCACCCATTGCTCTGAACCGGGAAATAGAGCCATCCACTTAGCTATTGCAATACACGGCTCTTAGCCTTATTCGCGACTCGATCCTAGATAGGGTTTGAGTTCGACTCATGACGTAGTCCTTTGCGAATAGTCATTGAGACAGGGTTCTCATGACTGCTAGTCATACTAGGTTGTCGATGAAACATCGCTCTAGATATTTAGCCGGCGTGGAAAGCTTCCACGCTACTAGACAGCTACTAGCTGAATTTTCCACGTGTTCCGGAAATGGACCGTGGAGTACGTAGAGTTATTACCATAACCTACGATATCACACTTCGAGGCCTCCCGCGGGATGTTGGAGGAAATATTCCTGATACCTCTTTACTATTGACTCGTGTATTAAACATCTAGTCCGGTTCGCATGCATATTCATGATGCAAGGAACCAAGGGAGTTTTAGGTCTAAAGTTTTAATGGGGTCTTTATATCCAATTCAATCACAAGAATTGCTATGCACCACCAGAAAATCCTCACTTTTGCTTTTCAGCTTAAACCAAAACCAAATTACCCCTCAATAAGCTGCAGTGCTAGCCTTTAGCTAGATAAACAACACTGAAAAGCAAAAGACCATCTCGAGTTACAACTACCGATCTCGAGATTGATATCAAGGTAACAAAGTCAAAGTGTATTGACATCAAGTGAAAGACATTGAGTTAACACCTACAACAGAGCAGAGGTGCACAGAATCAGCCTCTAGCTACACTGTAAGAGCATCGAAAAGGCTCTAACAGGACTGAGGTGCGCGCGGGAAGATCTATCTGAAAACGGTGAAGCACAGGTGACTTGACGCAGGTTACGTGCTGAGAGCAAGGAAATCCGGCTCTTATTCATCCAGTTGAAGCCGATTACGTCATCGCGCGAGATTTCGATCCATCTTATCACAACGAGCAGAAGTCATCGAACGGGGATCAAGATAGATCCTGACACAGGCGTTGCAAGCAAGAGGTCCTATACATCAATCGATAGAGGACATCTAGCCGCATCTCTGAGTATCGGTGCAAGCTTCTAACTCCAAAAATTGAGTGAGATAGGTTGATTCGAGTGATACAGTGCTACTGTGAAGAGAAACACAAAAATCCCGGTAAACCACACGGAGTCCAAAAACTCCACCGTTTGCCTGTTTCACACTTTAATACTCACACAGTGTACCCATCCAAGCATACCAAGACCATCTGCAAGCTTTGCAGAGGCAACAAAAGGACCAACAGAGGCAGTTCGCTACTACCCAAGGATCCATACCACGAGTTCTTCAGGAATTCCGCGAGCTGTCAAAGACAGAGGCTATCCAGCCACCAACAGGTGCACCAAGAGTGACCAAAAAGAAGGCTATCCAGCCATCAAGCAAGCTTTTTGAATAGACACGCAGCAGTGCTATTCAACGTGAGATCCTTCCTGCAGGAGCATCCACACAACAGTTCCACGAGAACAAGATAGTTCCAAGGAACAAGCAAGCACAAGAGAGTGCATTACCACACCAGCAAGACCATGAGATTCCAAGGAAGAGGTGGTCGTGGTGGAGGAAGATACCCTTCTAGGGGGGGTAGGGGATTCAATTCCTCAGGAAGAAGCCATCAAGGAAGAGGCAACAGCTACAGGAACCAGAACAAGAGTCCCAAGCGTCAGTTCCTCTTCCATCCAAATGGACAGGCTGACACCAGGTATTATCCTTTTGAAGAGACCCTGACCCACATTGTACAGGACCTAAGGATCAAGCCTGAATGGAATGATGTGCCATTGGCTTCATTGGCCATTGAGACCATGACAAGTCAGGCACCAACCAAGCCGACCAAGCCTACACTTCAGACATCACTTACTGATCCCAAAGCCCAAGAGTACGATGCTTTATTGGAACTCAGCGAGTACAAGGCCAAGTCATCCATCTATGACAAGTCGACTCGCACCTATGAGAACATTCTCAAGACTGGTGCAACCACCATCCAGGTGACATACTGTACCGATGCCATGAAGTCCAAGCTGAGAGGTCTAGGAGACTATGAGGATGCAGTCAAGCTCGATCCCATTGAGATGCTCAAGAGGATCCGATTGATAGTGATGCAAGGCTCAACCAAAGAGTTCCCATTGCTACAATTCATCAAGATGCGACAATACCATTGTGGATTGATTAATCTAACGATCTAAGAGATGTAAAGTTTGTATTTCCAAATAAGTGAGCAGTTATTGATTATTTTCTAGAATAGGCCCGCAATTTATAAAGCTGTAAAGCTGAATTGTAAGCTGTATCCCGTCGCACTCCCTTACAGCTGAAATGAAGCTGTAGCAAGAAACGATAGGAGAGAGTCCCCAGCAACGTGCTGAGGTAGATTACCATCCCATGAGGAGCTTCCGAATGACTGCAAACTGTGGAGCTGGCAGACCCTTAGTGAAGATGTCGGCCCGTTGTTCCAGAGTCGGAATGTACTTGGCCACGATGCCCTTCGACTCCCCGATATTCGACCTAAAGAAGTGGTACTTCAATGCCAAATACTTGTTGCGGGCTGACATCTTGGGAACATTCACAAGAGACAGGCAACCTTGGTTGTCTTCGAACACTGTAGAGCGCACGAGACTGTCAGTAATTACGGGCATATGCAGTTTGTTACCAATTTCCTTGAGCAGGGCTCGCATAGGAAGCAGCTCCCTCATGGACATGCTGAAGGCAACATATTCAGCAGCAGTGGAGCTCAGAGTAATGTCAGTCTGCAGTTTGCTGGACCAAATGACAGGGCATCCAAACAAAGTCAAGACAAAACCAGTGCGAGACTTGACCGAAACAGGATCCTGATCATCCTCATATCCATACAACCCTGCGAAGTCAGCATCCACCCAACAGTCAAGCCCTTGATCAAGCTTAGGGCTGAAACAAATGCCTTTGTCACTTGTGCCAATTAAATATCGAACGATACGTTTGATGGCTTGAGCGTGTGAGTGCTTGGGGTTGTGGCTGAATCTGCCACCTGATGTACACTAAAAGTGATGTCTGGGCGAGTGTTGGATGCAATTAGAGTAGCATCCCAACTGCAGCTGGATATAGCTCCACTCTTCGTCAAACGGGGCACCAAGTTTGTCAGGCCAAGAGGATCGGTGGCAGCAGGGGATGGCTTAGAGCTAGCTTCAGACATTCCAGTTATCCAATAACCTTGTTGATAAGCCCTTTTGAGTCAATTCCACGTTGTCTCCCTGTCTTTCAAAGTTGATACCAAGGAACCCAAAGATGTCTCCCTTTCTTCCATGGTGAGGTCATATCCAAGCTTTGGAGCTGCCAACATAGACTCAATCAGATCATTGTCCGGACTGAGCCAGATTTGTCATCCAATAATTAATACACAATATTTATACAGAGTTGATGCTCTTATGAATAAATAAACAAGGATCTGCTGCTGAGGTTTCGAAACCAAGTTGGACCATCCCACGACATAGATGCTCATAGAACAATTTGGGTGAATCAGTCTGCCCATAAATGGACTTGTCAAGTTTCAAAACACAGTCCTGTCCTTCATAATCTTTGGGTCGATAGTACTGAGGCAGTTCCATGTACAACGGCTGGTCGGCAGGCTGAGGACTCTGACAGGAAAGCAAGAGTAAAATCAAATTGTCTCGATTCCCATCCATGTGCAGCTGCAAGAGAAGACCGGCTCTAACAGTGGACCAACCAACGAGTGGAGAGTATGCGGTGCCTTCTAGGACTGAAGGTCACCTCTGCAGCCCATCTAGATTTGAACTTTTTCAATTGGCCATCTGGTAACCCCTTGATTCGTTGTACCCATGTTCCCGGAACTGCCTTGAGGTGTGAGGGCATTGAAAAACGTTGTACGATGTGCCAAGTCCCTTTGCCTTAAGGCTGGCAATTTCTTTGTCCTTGCTGCCCAGAAGTGGTCCGCATGTGTCCCATCAGAGATTCTTCAGAGATGGGAGATCAGGGTCTCTGGAAGTTTTGGCCTTGAGAGCCAGGGGGCTTTGAAGAAAGCCAGGATGGAACGATTCCTGGGTTTTGGTCAAGGGTGAATATCCAGTTACTGAGCTTGCAGCATGTGCCTGAAATTGGAGTGATTCCAAAGGTCATAACTAAAGCACAACTGAGCAGGGATGAAGGGCGTGCAATAAGTCTTCAGTTTTGGGTCCATGTTCAGAATCTCAGGCTTCTTGTTGTGAGCTGTCCTACTTGGATTCCGACGTGGGGCAGCGACAGGGATTGCCTTGATGGGAACATCTTTGGTGGGAGTGCTGACGATGAGAGGCTCCCTTGTCCAAGACGAAGGCAAATGTTGTGTCTGAAGCAATGGTAGACGGTCTGGGATCTCCCTGTGTGGAACCTGGGGCTGTGCTGGAGATGGAGCTTGAAAATGAAGATCATCCCTTTTGTCTTTGCTCTTGTCATCCTGCCATAACTTTCTCCTTGTCGAAGCTTCTGAAGATGAGATCGGTGCTGGTTGATGGCCTTTTCCTCTGGAGTAGCCACTCGTCTGCTAAGGAGGTGGAGTGTCTCATCAAATAGGGTTCTCGAAGCGTGGAAGATGCACATGTTGGTCCATTCTGGAGGTGGTGATCTTCTGAAGAGTAAACTGTTTCAAACCAATCATCATAGACAAAATGGTACTGGGGCGAAAGGTATCGGTTGTAGGTTGCGGATCAACCAATATTTTCTGAATGGACAGGTGAGGTGCCAACATATTGTACCTCTCCTGGACCTGGGCTGCCATTTTTGAATCTTCCTCCCTCACTGGTAAGCGAGGTTCCAAAACATAGGCAGGGCATCCCCATGGATGGGCATTTCTGATGACTTGACCATCACTGACAGTTGTGGAAAAGATCTCAATGGGAGCAATGCCAGTGACTGGATTTGGGGTGTGGTTGTAGAGGTGTGCTGCATGAGAGACTGCCAAAGGCCAAAGGATTCATCATCAACTTCCGGCCACAGAAGTGCAGCAGGATCATCATTGTTCTAGCTTTGGTTACTACAATTCTAATGGCTCCCTCAGAGACCCCATTCTGCCACTTTGGCACCGGTTGCAGAGTATCTGATTGATTGATGGTGGTCCTAAGATGTTGGACATATGCTTGGCTTTTGAGATGCCATTGTCAGTGTGATATGACTGAACCACACCCCA